AAAAAAAAAAAAAAAGGCTGATGCAAGAGGATTGCCTGAGTCCAGGGGCTCGAGACCAGCCCCGGCAACGTGATGAGACCTGTCTCTAAATAAATCAAAAATTAGCGGGCTGCAGTGGCTCACTACGGTAATCCCAGCAGTTTGGGAGACAGAGGCGAGAGGATTGCCTGCACCCACAGGTTCGAGACCAGCTCGGGCAACTTGGCAAGACCTGTCTCTACAATAAATAAAAAATTAGCCGGGTGTGGTGGCGCATGCCTGTGGTTCCAGCTACTTGGAAGCTGAGGCGGAAGGATCCCCTGAGCCCAGCAGCAGGTCGAGGCCGCGGTGGCTGGGAGCGTGCACCTGCACTCCAGCCTGGGCAACAGAGTGAGACTACAACTCAAAAAAACAACAACAACATGGATGACTGAATTCATTTCTACAGTGCTATTGTAGTTTCACACTCATCGTGCGAAGCCTCCCAGTAGCACAGGGAGGCAGGTACGAATCATTCCCAATTTGCAGCGAGAAAAATGGAGGCAGCATAAAAGCCTACACAAGGTTGCTTGGTATCATCCAGCCGGATCTCAAGCGCTCATGGACGGCCGGAGCTGGAAGGAACAGAGAGAGCGTCGAGGTCTTCGTGTGCAGCGTGTGGTCCTCTGGGAGTCCAGCGATCTGTGCTCAGAACAGCAGGACTCGGGCTGATCTCCTTGTTTCCGTGTGTGGTGGGGATTCCGAGACACCTAAACACACAGTTACAACCAGTGTGATAAAGATCAGGTGACTAGGGCATGTACCAGGTCAGTGGTTCCAAAAAAGGGGAGGTTTTTGAGCTGTACACAAAGAAGCATTTTAAAAAGTTAGCAATGTGTATTTAATTGTTAAAAATGATATTTTTAGCCCGACTCGGTGACTCAAGCCTGTAATCCCAGCACTTTGAGAGGCAAAGGCGAGAGGATTGCCTGAGCTCAGGGGCTCAAGACCAGCCTGGGTAACTTGGCGAGCCCTCATCTCTACAATAAATCAAAAAATTAGCCGGGCGTGGTAGTGCGCACCTATAGTTCCGGCAACTTGGAAGGCTGAGGCGAAAGGATCCACTGAGCCCAGCAGGTCAAGGCTGTGGTAGCTGTGAGCATGCCACTACACTCCAACCTGGGTGACAGAGTCAGACTCCGACAACAAAAAAAAAAATGGCCCTCCCTTTTTTTTGTGAATATATTGCATCTTACTTGCACACGGTACAATTTTTTTTTTTTTTTTTTGAGTTGGAGTCTCAGTCTGTTGTCCAAGCTGGAATGCAATGGCACACTCACAGCCACCACAGCCTCCACCTGCTGGGCTCAGGCGATCCTTCCACTGAAGCCTACCCAGTAGCTGGAACTACAGGCAGATGCCCAGCTAATTTTTTTATTTATTGTAGAGGCAAGGTCCCGCCAAGTTACCCAGGCTGGTCTTGAACTCCTGGGCTCAGGCAGTCCTCTCGCCTTAACCTCCTAAAATGCTAGAATTACAGGTATGAGCCACTGCTCAGCCAAGTGTTCTTTTTAATTAAACAAAATTTTAAGGCTGGGTGTGGTGGCTCATACCTATAATCCCAGCGTTTTTGGGAGACCGAGGCTGGAGGATTACTTGAGCCCAGGAGTTCAAGACCAGCCTGAGCAACGTAGAGACCTCGTCTCTACAAAAAAATTTTTAAACTGAGCCAGCCGGGCTCTGTGGCTCAGCCTGTAATCCCGCGCTTTGGGAGGCTGAGGTGAGTGAATTGCCTCAGTACACAGGTTCAAGACCCGCCTGGCAACTTGGCGAGACCTCATGTCTACAATAAATCAAAAAATTAGCCGGGCGTGGCAGCACGCGCCTGTAGTTCCAGCTACTTGGAAGGCTGAGG